GCAGCTCCCCGGCCGAGGGGAAGGAGATGCCCGACACTCTCTGCAGCGGCTCTGGGCTGCCCGAAGACCGCCACAGGGCCGACGAGTTCTGCGCACAACAGAGTTGGCGGGTGAGGGCGGGTGAGGACAGGCGGCGCCGTCAGTGTGCAGAGCAGCAGGCCCCGCCCCGCCCCCACCCGCGCCCACCGGCCCACCCGCAGGGCGCCACGGAGCCGCGAGACCCTCCGCTGCAGCGTGGAGGTGCCGGAATCTTGATGCTCACGTGTCCCGAGCCCGCGCCCGTCCTGCCGCCTTCCTCCCCCCCCCACTGCCCTAAGGGTGCCCCCCACTCGGCAGCGCTGGCTCAGGGGAGCCGCCCACAGTCCTGGTCCAACGCCAGGCCCCGGACACCCCCAGGGCAGGCGAGTGCCACTGCCCTCCGCAGGCACAGCGCGGCTGCCACTCCCACACGCGCCGGGAGTTTCATGTCTACACTGCGGATTCACTGGCCAGACAGGAGTTGGCAGATTTCACTTTTTTGTATTTAAAATGTGTGTGACCCCCCCTCCCCCCCAGCCGGGGCGGGTGAAGAGGCTCACCGAGGCGACACACTTGGCCAGGGCCGGGGCCAGCACAGGCGCAGTGGCTCCGGCTACGGACAGGCCCAGCCCTCCCCTCCCCCACCCCACCCAGTAACCCATCTTGCCTGGGAGCAGTCTGTAAAAGATGCGCCCCTGGCTTCGGGTCACCCACCCCAGCCCGTGGACGGTGCTCCCCACCTCCTCTCTCCACAGCAGCCTTCACTATGGGGTCTGTCCAGCCTGTCCACCCCCAGCTTCACCTCCCTCAGCACTGACGCCTGAGTCTGGAATCTGAACTGGCTTCTGGGTCCCGGCAGGGCGACCAGCACCTGCCAGCAGACTGGGCGTGTCTGGGAGGCAGGGACGCAGGACCTTTCTCCTCTGGCTTTCCCCGCTAGCTACCAGAACAGAAAAAGGCCACGAGACCACCACCTGCCCATTCCCTGCCCGACCCCAGCGGGCTGGAGCCGCCCTGCCCGCACCACTGACTGTTAAGAGCTTCAGGCCTCCGATCTGTCCCGTATGGCGAAGGTGGGGGCCCCGGCAAAGATCGACCAGCAAGCCACACCTAGGAGAAGGGGCCAATCAGTGGTCCCCGGGTTAACGAACTACCTTTCTCCCCTCCTGTGGCAGACCGGAAGTGGTCTGTTCGAGAGAGCAGTGGGGGATAAAAGGTAAGTCCTGCCCCCCGTGTGTTTTTCTCTGGAGCAGCACAAATCACCTGCTACCTCCCTCCCTGACCCGGTCCCTGGCACAGCCCCACCTCTCCCTGGCTCCCCGATCCTGACAGCGCTCACCCATAGACCGTTGCTGTTGGACTTGTCACCTTCTCCTCGATCACGCGGAGCTTGAAGGGGTTATCCTGTGGCAAGGGAGCAGTGAAGAGAAGTCTTCACTTCCACCAAGAGGAGCTGGGGAGCCACCTTTCCCCTGCTGCTCTGGCTCTGCCCCAGGAACCTGGGCATCTCCACCCCACCTTGAAGAGCTGACGAAGCTGCTCCTGGGAAACCTGTAGCCTCCGGAAGGGCCGAGCAGCGGCCGCAAGTTCCTGGCAGAGGCGCTCCAAGGCTGGCAGCTCCGAGCCCCGAACTGTCCTGGAAGATGGCGGTCGCTGGCTGGTGGCCTCTAAGCATCACCTGGGTGATACACTTACTGGCTAAGGGGAGCAACCCTGCTCTCTAGAAACATCGAGACTACTGGAAAGGACAAACTAAATAAAAGGCCACGCAAGTAGGAAACCAGCTACAAAACTGGGTCAAAAGGTCCGTGTGAAGTTAAAAGTTCAGTGCAGATCGTCTGGACAGACAAAATTGATCACTAAGGAGCGAAGAGGCAAAGACGGAGGGTTCATAAAGGCGAGAGAAAGTAAACTCCCAGCAGGGTCAGACAGAAGAGGAAAGGCGTGGGCTAGTGGGCGTCACAGTTGAGAACTCAAGGGGCTCCCCTAGCTTTTCCCTCCAAATCGAACAAACTGAGGCCCAGAAACCATCCCAATAAGGTATAAGCTGTTTGAACTTTTAAGATCCGAAAGCTACTTTGTAGATTTACGCCTACGTGTACCGCGTGGCGACTACAGATAACTCTGTACTGTGTACTGAAACTTGCTAGGAGACGTCTCAAGCGCGCCTCATTCTCCCCGAGGGCAGGTGTGGGTGTGCTATGGCGAACTCACAGGCAGTACACGCGGGCCTAAGACCATGCCCTGCCACGCTTTACCTACGTGACCATTTCCTGTCAATTGTATTTCAAAAAAGAAAATAAATCTGGAGAGCCTCTAAAAGCAAACCACCCCAGGGTCACCCCCTTCCTGAACTACTCACCGCTGCTTTTCCAGGAAGAAGTCGTGGTAGAAGCCGCACTCCGTGCTCGGACCTCGGCACAGCACCGCGCCGAGCTGCTGCTCGGCCGCCGCCCCCAGGACGTGGGCGCTGGAGTGCCAGAACACCTGTTCACAAGAGTCACACCTCCTTTGGCCTCCCGCTCCCGCCCTCGCCGGCAGAGACGGCGTGAAGCCAGACTGGCTCACCTCGGGACTGCTACCCTGGGCTGGGGATGCAGCCTCCAGGGCGGCTACAACGCAAACAGCTTTAAGAGATTTTTCTTTTGAACAGAAAAGGAAGCCAGGGAGCGCTCACCCCCAGCCTGCTCAGCCCCCCGGCCCCGGCCCGAGCCGCCGTCCGCTTTCCTCCGCTGCAGCTGTCACACTGTTGGGGCCCCCTTCGGACAGCGCCTCCCAAGGCCTGTTACATCTTCCCGCCCATTTTCCTGTCCGGCATAGCTAGCAGGATGCCAACACTCCTCCGACCTGGGCACAGCTTTCCGCGGAGGACGCGGGACTCCATTCCCTGCCCCCGGAGGGTGGTCTAGCTGCCAAGCTAGCGGGCACAAGAAAGTGGGAGGTCGGGCTGTGCGCCCCAGTGCGAGCCTGGCTAGATACGCCCTGGAGGGGGCTTCGCCTGCTGTCTCAAAGCCGGGGCACTGGCTTTCTGGGGTTCAGGACGCAGAAGCGACGATGTGGAGGTGCCGCTGGGGCGAAACTGCTCGTTTCCGTGGCTCTTCCACCTGGAGCCACAGTCAGCTGTGCCGGGCACCCAAGAGCCAAAGAGCTTCCCGTCACCTCCGTGAAGGGACAAGCGGACAGAGCCGGCTGCTGGCATGGGTGTCACAGGGTGGCCAGGAAGAAAAGGCGCCCAGAGCTCAGACGAAGGGACATGGGCAATGAGTGCTGCTGGAGGAAAGAGGCAGGTTTCTTTCCTCTGAGGCAGTGCGGGGCCAGTGAGCACACAGGCGAGATGAACGTCCGTCACCTCGGGGCCGGCCGCAAACAGTGCGGGCCTGTGACCCAGAGAAGCACTCAGTCACGCCGCCGCGCTGCGTGACTGCTGGGTGCTACTTGTGAAGAAAGAACCCATTAACGTTATTTGCCCACCAAAGAGGTGCGGGGATGCGCCTTTCTTTTTTTTAATTAATTATCCTTTTATTGTACAATTTTGTGTGTGTAGAATAATTGGGGTGTAGGCTAGAGACACGGGAGTGAGAGGATTCCCCAGAGACAGAGTGGGGAGCAGAAAATGTGAGGTGACTGAAGAGTCAGGAGACAGGAGAGGTCTGCTGCATCCTGGGGGTCCCTCCCTGGCCGGGGATCGAATGCGTGCCGCAGCCGCTGCAACAGCTCCATAGGGCTGAGACTGAACCCCCAGGCCACTAGGTAGGCCCCTATCCTTCCCCTTTCACTTACTGTCTGTCCTTTTCACCCCTAGGCTAAGTAGAAACTCATCGTAAGTTTCTGGTTTGGCCAGGAGTAAGCAAAGTAAGCAACCTGTGGTCGGTCTCTCTCCCAATTACAAATGCAGAAACTGAGGCACAAGGAACGTCAGCAACAGCTGCTCAAACAGCTCCTGGCTCAGCAGCTACTGTATTCCTCACAAGTCGGAAACTTACTGCTTTCCCCTCTGCAGAAGCGAAAGTCAGAAACCCGAGGTCACAGTCCGTCTCCAGGGGCCGCTCCAGGTCGAAGGGCTCCCCGTTCACCCGCGCCGCCACCGCGGTCTCGGCCAGGGTCGGGCTTCAGCAGCGGGGGCCGGCGGGGGTTGGAGAAAAAGTGTCAGCAACCAGAGGCCGGGGGCCAGTTTGCAGCAACCGCACGCTCGCGAGGGGAACCGTGTCACGGGCCAACAGGGCCTGCTTCTGGCCTGAGGGCGCAGAGAAACCGGCGACCCCGGCCCAGTACCTGATGCGCCGGGCGATCTGGTAAGGCGTCGTGCTCCAGGCCACCGCGTCCACCGCCTGGCCCCCGGGCAGCGAGACCCTGATGGGCCGGCGTCCCCGCTGGGCCTGGCGGGCCAACCGCTCCACCTGCGCGGCCCACAGCTCCTCGAAGAGGCCGAGACGCTCCGCCAGCCGGCGCGGAAGGGCCGGCGCCGCCGCCTGCAGGCACACGCGTCAGGACCGCACGCTCCAGCGCCGGCT